CTCCCCCCCATGCCCAGCCGTTCCCATTCCAGCTACAGTGTCTCTGTGGCTTGTGCAGTAATTGCTGGACTCCTACACTACCTCCTCCTGGCCTGCTTCACCTGGATGTTCCTGGAGGGGCTGCACCTCTTCCTCACAGTCAGGAACCTGAAGGTGGTGAATTACACCAGCGCCAGCCGGTTCAAGAAGAGACACATGTACCCGTTTGGCTACGGATTCCCAGCCCTGATCCTGGCTATTTCTGCCGCAGTGAATCCTAAAGGCTACGGAACTTCCGAGCAGTAAGTGCAGCGCCCACCGCGAAGGGGAGCTGGGATGTGGCCTCCGTGTCTGTAGCCTGCATTGCCCTGCTCACCCTGCCTGAGGGCAGTCCCCCAGCAGCCTCCTCCAGCCCCAGGAACAGCAAGCTGCCCCAGCACAGTAGCTGAGTTTCCCTCCTGCCAGGCAGCTGCAACTCGCCCCAATGATGCTGCAAGAACAAGAAGCCAGCAAGGTCCCAGGCTGTGTTTGTGGCTCTGGGAACAAACGTACCCTTCACTAGTGTAAATGTTTGTCACATCTCTTGCTTCCGTGCAATGAGGCCAATTTACATCCGCTGGCTACCTGGCCCTCCATGGCTCCGACACTAGAACAGTCCCTTGCAGGTGGGAGAGGAGGGTTCGGCAGAAAGTGGGGGAGGTTGCAGTTGATGTGTGGGGAGGAAGCTGTTGGCCTGCAAGAGGGTCGCCATGTCACAGGCAGGCTGAGATCCTTTCCACTGGAGAGAACCACTGCTCTGTGATGCCCTCTCACTCTGCTGAGCAGTGATCACATTCCTGTCCCCATGCTCTCACGTGGGGGGTAATGCGCGTCTTCCTTCCTGCCTGTAGCTGCTGGCTCAGCCTGGACAGAGGCTTTCGCTGGAGTTTCCTGGGGCCAGTCTGTGCCATAATCCTGGTGGGTACCTCACAGAACCCCAGCCCCCTTCTCTCACCCCGGCAGCCCCACTGATTTCAGGAAGCAGGGAGGAGAAGGTGTTTCCATAAAACACAAGGAAAGACCCAGTTAAGACCCAGCTGGCTCATCCACTTTGGCCGGTCGCGGGATCCGTCTCTGTGCCCTGTCCCCAGCCCACAGCCTTTACTTGGGCACAGCTGCCAGGGACGTCAGCAGGAGTTTGGCCAAGTGAAGGCAGAAAAAGTCTGGTCCAGTCTAGCTAATGGCCCAAGGAATAGGGAAGGGAGAGGGCTACCCTGTACTGTGGTTATTTGTGTGTGTGTAGGGGGAGGAAACAGCTGTCCCTACATATTTCTACCCAACCCCTGGGGAAGATTGGAGAATGGGTATGCAGGGAATTTTTTACAGCCTAAAATTGCAGAAAATATTCTAGAAGCAGGATCTGGTAGAATATTCTAGAAGCTAAATCCTGCTCAGTTACACCAGTGTGAACCCTATTTACTCCACTGGAGTGGCTCCATATTGAACTCTGAGCAGAATCTGGCCTCTGTGATCCCATTGATCCATCTCAGCCCTGGCTCTGCCATCAACTCCGTGTGTAGGGAGAGACCAAGAGCTGCTGGGGACCTTACAGGAGAGGGATGATTCCCCCAGGCCATGTCCAATCCCAGTTCTGCAGCATTCGGCTCGGTCCCCTGGGATCGTTCTCTGACTGAGCTGGACTGACCGGCCCCGGACGGGACATTTCACAGGAAACATTTCCCGCTGCCCACAGATAAATGTGACGTTCTTTGCCCTGACCCTGTGGATCCTGAGAAGCAGTCTGTCCTCCCTCAATGCGGATGTGTCCACCCTCAGAGGCCACAGGTGAGAAGGCATCGGAGCAGTCGTGGAGGGTCAGGTGTCTTGGTTTGGATGTTCCTGGGCATGGAGAGGGAGTGAGGGACTGCAGGAGAGGGGCAGCGTATCTAGGATCCATGGGAACGAGGCCCATTGTGTTCGCATTGACAGTAACCCCGTCCCACACAGGAAAGCAGGGCCGGTAGCTCCACCCCACTCTGGCCAGACCCTGCTGACCCCGATGCTCCCTACAGGATTGGTGTAACGGGCTCTCTCTGCCTTTCTCCAGACTAATGACCTTTAAAGCCATCGCCCAGCTCTTCATTCTGGGCTGCACCTGGTGCCTTGGTCTTCTCCATGTTGGCCCAGCAGCCATGCTCATGGCGTATTTATTCACCGTCATCAACAGCCTGCAGGGAGCCTTCATCTTCCTGGTGCACTGTCTCCTCAATCGCCAGGTAAGGCCCATGGCCCGTCAGCGCCCACCCAGCACCTTCACTAGCCCCACGGTGGCCATGTCTGATCTCATCAGAGTTCCTTACGCGGTGCAGTGACCGTGTCCTTGACTCCCAGGTGAGAGAGGAGTACAGGAGATGGATCAGGGGATTCCGACCACCCGGCAGGAAATCTCAGACAGACGATCTCTCCATGTCGACTGTCCCCACCACTGGCACTAAGGCGGTAAGAGATCCTCTGGTTTGCTCCTACACCCGCCTGCGACACCGTCCCCTCTAGCTTTGCTGTACGGGTGCTTTGCCCTGTGAGAGACCCGCAATTTGTTATGAGCCATCTGGGCACGTCCTTGGTCTCTCTCCAGGGGCGTCCTTCATCCTAGGCACAGCACAGAATGGCCTTTCCCATGCCCCCGTGGCCCCTTCCCTGGGCTCTCTGGAGAGCTCCCGGGGTCACTCGCTGGGGAGGCAGGTGCTGGCTCTGGCAGTGTAATGATCTGAATATCTCCCAGGGAGCCTTGTGAGTGCAGACGATCCATCCCCTCGAGCAGTCAGCACCATGGAGAGTTTCCCAGGCCTTTGTGTGGCCTTGGAATTTCTCATCAGTTCCCTGCTTTTCTTGCCAGGTGTAACCCTGATTCCATGTGGTCGGCAGCAGCCAGGGCTGTGTTTAGCCTCAGGGTTCCAGAGCAAACCAGACCGGCTGGAGCCCCCTGCCAGTAATCAGAACATTTAAGACTAACCCACGTGCCTCCAAGAGGCAACACGTCCCCTCTTTGTCTGTGTGTAACAAAGGGAACTTTTAATAGAAAGGGAGGAAGAACGGAGCCTTAATCTGGAAACCCACCAAGAGACACCGACTCCAGATGTGGTGCGGGGCTGAAGCACCCACAGTGAAAAACTGGAGAGTGCCGAGCACTGACTGGCAGCCCCCTATCAGCTTACACCTACTACCCCCACATCACCTGCCTGCTGCCATCAGCTGTTTCCCCGTATTTGGGAGGCTTAGGGGAAAGTGAAGGAGTGGGGACTTGGTTTGCTAGGGAGAGGGGATGGACCTGGGCAGTGCAAGGGTGGAGCGGCTGCAGGTAGAAGCAGGGTGGGGCTTTGGGAGAAGGGGTAGAGTGGAGGTGAGGACCTTGAGCAGAGCTGGGGATCAAGCCCCCCCACTTTTAAAAGTTGGCACCTGTACTCACAACCATGAGTCGACAGCAAGGGACCATGCATAAGGCTGAGATTTTATCACAGATATTTTTAGTAAAAGTCATGGCTAGATCCTGGGCAATAAACAATTCACGGCAGGTGCAGGAGTGTTCCCCTCTGTTTGCTCCCCTGCCCATGCCTGGGCAGCTACAGGGTCCAACATTGGGTGGGCATCAGGGGGGCAAGGAGGTCGGGCGCTCCAGCCCCCAGGACAGGAAAGGTCAGAGAGGTCAATGGAAGTCCTGGATTCTGTGACCTTTGTGATCTATTCATTGCCTTAACCATGAGCAAACTCCCCGGCCAGACTACACTGGGCAGAGTCCTTTGCCTCAGTTTCTCCCCTTGTGTGAAAGTCCAGCTGCTTTAACCTGCCTTGGTCTTTCCCTCCACTACACTCCCCCACCCCACCCCACCCCACCGTTGCAGTCCCTGGTCAACAAAGGCCCAGAGTTCAGAGTGTTTGTGGGTGTTCACCTCCCAGTGGGAGATGGGGGTGGGAGATGGCTGCGACCGACCAGGCCGAGTCTGGGCACAGCTGAGGGCGTCCACTCAGGGCGAATTGCTCAAATCCGGGGCTCCTTACAGCCCCCAGACTGGTGACCTCTCCGAACAGGCCACAAACCAGTCCCACAGAGCGCTTCAGCTGCCTGCCTGAAGCCTCACGAGCAAAACCCCTCCGACACCCCAACAATATCCGTGCCTCAGATGGCCCCGGGCCTCATACACAGGTGGGGAGTCCTAGCACCCAATCCACCTACCCCGAACAAGTTCTGTCCGGTTCCAAGAACCCAGCCACAGATCCCTGGTCAATTTACCCTCTGGACCTTACCCACAAATCACACTGGGCCAATCCTTTAGCATCTAACAACTAAAGGTTTATTATCACAAGAAAGAAAAGCATGAGAGTGAGGTTGCTAAAGAATCATATGTTACATGCATCGAATCTCCCAATCATCAATGCAGGCTCTAGCAGAGATGTTACAGCTGCTGGTTTAAAAGTCCTTGTTGCACATCCTAGAATCAGGATGGGTTCACAGGTCTTTCCGGCTCTTCGATCCCTGCAATGCTGCCTCTGGGATGAAGTGCTGAGCTGAGAACAAAAATGGAGACCACCACATGGCCTATTTATCCCTCCTTCCTGGTCTCTTCTTGGCTATAGCAGGTCACCTGGTCCACGGCTTATTCCTGTGTTGCCTGCTGGTAGCCCTTAGTTCTGAGTCACCACTCATTCTTTAGGTGTGTCCTTGGCCCATTGAGAGCTCTCGCTGATTAGCATGTCTATAGGCCGGGCCCTGCCCAATGCTCAGCCACATGCAGGGAAATATTCAGTATCCATACAAGTACATGCTTATAATTGCACACCCAGACATTATACAAACACATGATCAGCGTACACAGGATTAGCAGACAGTGAGCTTCTATTCAACACCCTGCATGGCCCCCCTTTTATACCATTTTCTGGGGCCAACACCCCCACCTATGAGTGCAGCAGCGACCTGGCTGCTCCCCTCAAATTCCAGTAACGTGACAACGGCATTGAGAAATGCCATGCAAGTGAGGTGTTGTCTGCACTACCCCCCAGGTAGGTGTGACTACATCGCTCCGGCCCGGGTGTGAGACTCCACACCCATGTGGAACGTTGCTTTACCGACCTAACCCTTGTGCCACCAGAAGAGCTTGTCACAGCCAGCCCTGGGGCAGCGGGAAGGTGGATTAACAACACCGATGGAAGAGGGTCTCCATGAGCGCGGCGCGGCGGTGCTGATGCTCTGTGTTAAGCGTGGACGCGCCCTGAGGCTCAGCCACCAGCCCTGGCCATCAGCGCTCTCAACTGTAGCGTTCGCTGTTCAGTTCTCCCAGTGGAGTCCAATCAGCTCTGCGTGAACCAGTGGAGAGGGAGAGGGTCCGATGGCACTGAGGACCTGCCAGGCAGAACCCAAGCAAACACCCTTCCCAGCCCCCCTTGTCAGGGCCCCTGTGTGCTGGGTACTGAAGCGATTTCTCCAACGCCTCCAGCCCAAAGGCTCGCGTTGGAAAAGCGGCTCCCTCTGCTGAGTTCCTGGGCGGAGCGTGTGCAAGCGTCTGTTCCCCAGCTCAACACTGCGGCGGAGGGGAGCTCGGTCTGACCCCACTGACACAGCAGTGACGAAAGTGGAGCCTTGCGTGTCTGCAACACCAGGTGTAGCTATGGGTGGGCCTGACACTTTGCATCCAGTCCCCCCTCCCCCGCCAGCCTGCCCAGCACTTTAGCCAGGGCTAGAGCCTGCACTGGAGCATCGCCAGGCAGGCGGTGGAACAGGGCAAGCCCGTGCTCCCAGACCCCCCTCCGGGTGCATCTCTGGGTCCCCTGACCTGCATGGCCATTCTTCCCCCTCCCCCAGCCAGTTGCAGGGAGGTGGCCCCATCTCCTGTCCCACCCCTCCCTCTCTTGCCCACCCACCTGAATCTGGGGGCCCATCCAAGTGGGCTCTTCTGGTTACACCAGAGTGTGGGGAGGCCCCAACACCTGCTGCCAGCGCCTGACCTCCACTACTCCCCCACAGTGCTCAGGGGAGAGGACCTGGAGGAAGAGGTGGGGTGGGGGTGGAGCTCAGCCCAGCACAGCTGCCCCAGAAACCTCAGGGCCCTGCTGGCCGGGGTCAGGGGTCGCCTTTGGCTCCCCATGGGGCTCTGGGGCAGGGCTCTGGGAAGGGCCCAAAGCCCAGGGCAGAGACCAGGCTCCTCCCCATCCCTGACCAGAGTCCCCACTTCAGCCCCAGGCCTGGGCCCATCCCCCCTCCTGCCCCTGACGTTGGGGGTGGGTCCCAGGGCCCCGGGGCTGCTCCCTATGCTGATGGGAGCCTGGGCCCTGCCTGGGGCAGCACGTGGCCCCAACAGCACCCTCCCTGGAGCTGCTGCTGCCCCAGCCCCAGGGGCACTAGCGTGGGAGGGGTGCAGCTGGGAGCCGCCTTGCGGCAGGGCTGGGCTGGGACCCAAGTGGGATGTCATTGGATTCAAAACCCGTCGTGTTTGCACCAAGCTGGCGTAACGTGGGCCAGATGCGATGTCTGGCGGAAGCGGATGACTTGCTGGCACAGTCCTGGCCCGGAGATGGTGGCAAACAGCCCATGAGCAACAGCCTCTTCCAGGAACCAGCCAGACACAGAGGCGGGCAAGCCTCCT